TTGGGGGGAAAAAAAAAAAAAAAGAGGGTAATTAAGTTCCTTTTTTTTGTTTACGTCCGGGGAGAAGGAAAGTGCCAGTTTGTTCCCCATGGCTTTATTTTTTTTTTTGTTTGTCTATTTGTATATTTTTTTTTTTTTGTTTTTTTTTCCTTTTTTCCTTTTTAGTTAATTGGGGTTTTGTAGGTTTTTTTTTTTTCCCATGGGCTTTTCCTTTTTTTTTTGGAAAGGTGGTTGTTAGGGTGTTTGGTAAATTCGGTAGATTTCAGGTATGAACTAAATAGGTAGAAAAAGGGAAATGGTGTTGCCATGGGGGGGGGTTACATTAGAGCGGAAGACCACAGGGGAGTTAGGTGTTTGGGGGGGAGGGAAAAAAAAGGGGGGGGAGGGTATGTGCTTTTTTCAAACCTGGCCCCCCACTTTTATTAATCTTTAAAAAAAGTAGCTGGGGCGGGGAAAAACCGGGAATATCCTTCCGTCCGGGGTTGTGGGGATTGGGGGTCACCATTAGGGCAGGGGTTTAAAGGAGTCCCCCCCCCCCCCCCCCCGCCGCATCTTCGTGTGCCCCCTCAGTTTAGCGGAGGTGGTGAACGCCTACGAGGTGTTGTCGGACGAGAAGAAGCGGGCGAGCTACAACACGAGGCGCAAGTTTGCCAACCCGTTCAGGCGCGGGGGGGGCGGAGGAGCCGGTGCCGCCGGCAGTGGGGGGGGCGGGGGGGCGGCTGCGTGGGGGAGCTCGACGTACAACGCGGCCAGGGAGGAAGCGGCTCGTCGCTGGAGGGAGCAGAACCCCACCCCGGATGAGATTGGTAAGGCTCGCCGAGACGCGGCGAGCGTCACGTGCGCATGTACCTGTGTGCCATGCCAATGGCTAAGAAACCGATGGTCATGTCGACTGCTACACCACACAAGAATAACATCCCTCAATGCTGTGAACAAATAGCTGGGATAGCGATTTTTTTTCAACAATCCCATGGTTGTGCTGTTCTCTTCCCGAACACTGCCCCGAAGTTTGTGTTGGTTGTTTTTCAACCTGTCGTTTGGAGATGTAGCTACCCAGCCGTTTGACGAGGCGGGGGCTCCCGAATCGTGTGGATGTTATCGCTCGACGTTGGGTTGAGGCGCCGCACGTATGCCCTGGAACTCCCAACGTGGTTTCATCTGTTTGTCGCCGTTCTCTTGGTACACCGTCGCTCCGACAGAGTGGTCGTTTTCGGGTTGTGCTTACAGCACGCATGATGTGCAGTTCGGACATGCGCTCCTACATGTGTCCTCCGGTGGGCACGCGCGTACTTACCGACTCCTGACCCCCCCCCCCTCAAGCACCTCCCTACCGAAGGAATGCGAGGTCAATATGGTCAAACGGCCAGGGCAACAACCTTTCACAAGCACCCTCCCCCCTCCTTGATTCGTGTTGCGCTCTTCACTAGGCGATAGCTTCGGCGACATATTCCGAGACTTGGTTGGAGGCATCGCGTCGGTGGGAGGGGGGGGCGGGGTGTTGAACGACGTTGTCGATTTTTTGGAGAACCAGGTGAGAGAGAAATAGAGACATAGAGACATAGAGGTAGGACGGGGGAGGGGTTGGATGAGGGCATCTACTGCCATTGTTGTGCCCGTCGCGGCCGCCCTTCTCGTCTATCCGCTATTTGTTTTTGGACAACCACCACCACCACCACCACCGTTTTGATGTGACGCTCGCGGGGTTTATCTGGCGGTAATCCCCTCGCCAACTTTCATACGAAACGTCTCGGCTTAGACGTGAGTTTTGCTGCCGGTGGGGGGGTCCTGTGTACGTGTTGTGTTACCGCCGTCATCGCTGGGCTCTTCGGACAACTTCTGGCCAAAGAGCAATGTAGAACAACGTTCGTCCAAAGAGCAATTTAGAACAACGTTCGTCCAAAGAGCAATTTAGAACAACGTTCGTCCGTCCGCCAAGCATGGATGGCGCTTGGGCGCTGCTGCCTGCGCCATCTTGTGCCGACCCAGCCTAGGCGTTTGTCAGCACGGTCGGGAGTTCTTTATCCCTTCCTCCCTGCTCACAAGTGCCTCTCACGGAAGAAGGGAAGCAACCGGCCCTTGACGCCCACCAGAGTTACCGTAGCCGCTCAAGGCACCACCCCAGGGCTTGCCGCGATCGATGCACGCCAGATGGTTGGAAACCGAATGGGGCGTGTCGCCGCCTCCGTTGCTACGGCTGCTGCCACAGACATTTTTTGTCAGACAGACAGAGGACATGAATCGAGTATCTCACCACCCACATGTATCGCACGATCATCTGCACGGTTTTGGCTACAGCCCCCCCCCCCCCCCCCCCCC